GGCGCCCCCGCCGACAGCGGAGGTAGGGAGAGCTGGGGCCGGGGCGGGTGGAGGACGTGGGGCAGGATGCGGGGGGATGCGGGACGGCTGCGGTGACGGGTCTCGCTGCGGAGAGGGGCCGCGGGCGGCGGGTTCTGTCTGCAGGCGCAGCTCCGATCCGCCCCGTCGCTCCAGCCGGGCAAAACTCCTCCAAGTTTTTCCTTCTTGGCTGTGAGCAGAGCTCCTGCCTTCGCGTTGTCGGCTTTCCCTAGCAACTAGGCTGGTTTTTGTTGCTGTTGTCATTGGTGGTGGTGTTGACGGGCGATATTGTCGGTCCCGCTCGCTCAGCGGGCTTTCCAGCGCTCTCCTTTTTTTCTGCCTGGTCCTTTTCCTTGTCGCCGAGTTATGAACAGGTTCCTTCCCAAAGGCCGAAGTGCGGTGTCGGTAGCTGGTACGCCGGCAGCTAGTATTTCAGGACATGTTCCTTAAGCCTTAGAAACGGCCCCTTCGCTTCCCTGAACTTTTCATATTCTGATTATGGCGAGTATCATAGACGGGATTTGCATTAAGGCAAGGAGGGCATCTGCATCCCCCTCTATGCATTGGAGCAGAAAGGTATATCGCTGGTAACTAAAACAACTTGTCGCAACCCATATTGCCGTCCTTTATACCCCCTTTTCTTTAGAATGTAATAGTTGAAAGGTGAAACATGATTTTAACTAACTGTTTTTATATCTGGTGTCGTTGAAACGTTTTCAACTGTTAGTATTCCCAAACTTCTCGGCGGCCGTACGCACAGGTTCCACTTCGTTGCTAAATGCCCCCCGTTTCTCTCTCTCTCTCTCTCACACACACCCCCGACCATGAAAGTGTGAATATTTAGAACTGTGTGCACGAACGTGAGGGGTTTAAATATATATACATACTCGAGTAAGTAGATACGCTGTTAAACAAGAGTCAGCATCTGAAAACAGATCATTTTGTGCTGCAAACATTTCCTGTGAAGACACTTTTTAACAGCATGCGTTTCCTACTTTTTTAACCTTGATTTTGGAAATGCAGTAAAAGTTGACACAGAAGCAGTGAGTGATTTACAAGTGGCTTCTTCAAAAGAATTCCCAACAGAGATTACACCAAAAAAATACCATTTCAGCAACAATAACAAAAGACAGCGGAATAAAGGAAGTGCAGAAAGCCTGATCCGTAACACATGATAAAAATTACATCGGGCTTCTTTTAGTGCACAAGCTTTGTCTCTGAAATTAAAACACACGTTCCTTTTTAACTGCTTGACAAAGTTACTTTAGTTTCTTAGTGGACAATTTTTTTAGAGTTTCGTTTTGAAGGCTGACACAAATTTCACAAGACTACTGGTAAGAATGCACTTCTGGGCTAGAAAAAAAAGCGAGACTGTAGTAGAAGAAAGAAAGAAAAAAATATTCAATGTTAGCTTTTTAGGAACAGTTCCCTTCCTACCCGCTAACTATCCTGGTGTTTTAGTGCAGCGATTCACCATGCTAGTGACATTTTAAAATAGATCAGAAACTTCTGACACTTGTATATCACGAGCTAAAAGATGAAGTTAATATCTGGACAATTTGCGGTAATAATGAGGCCTAATGAGGTTCCTAGAAAGATAAAATGTTATTTACCAAAACATCTGACGGGATAATTTGACTTGCTGTGTTTTACTACTGATGATAAAAAGAATATTGATTGCAAATAAATCACCGTCTCTAAACGCTTGTAAACAATTTGTGTTTGCTCTGCCTAGATCAAAGTAAAACTTATGAGAGAAAGCGTCTGCATATCCATATTCTACAATGCGTGGATCAGTTTTCATTCCGGAGTTTAAAGGCTCTTCTAACAGCTACAAGTTAATGTTTGACATCAGAATCTTAGTGTATGATTCTAGAAAGTGATGGGGGGGGGGAAGTTGTTTTGTGTGTAGAAAATCTCTTACATTTTAAGTGTCTTCGTACTGAAGTTGAGCACTCATCTCGCCAGTCTCAGCTCACGTCAGCTCCTTTTAAAGGCAGATCTGGGGCCAGAGACGAATGCTCTGCATACATTTGTAACATCCTCCTGGATATTTTGCAGATAAATGCGATGTTGTGCCCAGGCATGAGTTTGTAACTGTGGTGTAGTACCTTCTCTCTCTGCCTGGTAATTTCGAGAGCACAATAAATTGTCTCGCCGAGGCAAATGCGAAGTTGCTGGATTTCCATCATTTGGTGTGATTTGGTTTGAAAATACGCATAATGTCTGGCAGAGCCCATCTTAGCCCCTCTCTTTTCCTTCCTCTGCAAGAAGGGGGGAACCATTTGGGAATACCTCTGTCTGATCTAAACGTGAAGAGCCTGGAGCGGGTAGGGCCGAAATTTGCCTGTGAGACCTTTTGCACCGCTCCAAGGCGTGTTCCGGCTCCCGCAGCAGCCTATTCAGGTCTGTTAGAGACGCTAACGAGATAATTGATGTGCTTTTTCCTCTCCGCTTGTCTGAATGTGTTGCAGGGCTCCCAGTACGAGCTGAAAGATAATCCGGGTGTCCACCCTGCTACCTTTGCTGCCCACACTGCCCCTGGTTATTATCCTTATGGACAGTTCCAGTACGGGGACCCAGGGCGGCCCAAAAATGCCACCCGGGAGAGCACCAGCACCCTCAAGGCCTGGCTCAATGAGCACCGCAAGAACCCCTACCCCACCAAGGGCGAGAAGATCATGCTGGCCATCATCACCAAGATGACCCTCACCCAGGTCTCCACCTGGTTCGCCAACGCCCGCCGGCGGCTCAAGAAGGAGAACAAGGTGACCTGGGGCTCCAGGAGTAAGGATCAAGAAGATGCAAATCTCTTTGGGAGTGACAATGAGGGGGACCCCGAGAAGAATGAAGACGACGAGGAAATCGACCTGGAAAGCATAGACATAGATAAAATCGATGAGAACGATGGGGAGCAGAGTAATGAGGAAGAGGAGGAGAAGTCTGAGCTCCTGAGACAAAGCAGTGAAGAGAACTTGGAAAAGGAGAAGGATTTGGCACTGTCAGGGTCTGAAGGTCTGAAACCTAAAGATGCACTGGCCATGGTGAAAGAGGCCTCTGACAACAGCACGCGAATCATCAGTCCCGGGGGACAGAACAGTTTACAGATGCCATCTCACAGCAAACCCAAGATTTGGTCTTTGGCAGAGACGGCAACCAGTCCTGATGGTGCCCTGAAATCTTCTCCCCCTCCACCCGCTCCTCCCCAGGTTAACCACACTTCTCCACAGATCCAGCACCCCGCTTTTCTCCCTAGCCATGGACTCTACACGTGCCAGATTGGCAAATTTCACAACTGGACAAATGGGGCTTTCCTCACTCAGAGTTCCCTGCTAAATGTGAGGTCCTTTTTGGGAGTAAATCACCATCATGCTGCTCACCACAATCACCACCTCCAGGCCCAGCAACAACCTTCCGTTTTAACAGCAACCCTGGGAGCCCTCAGCAGTGAAAAGCCTTCAGAGAGGACCAGTCCTAAACACACAGGTAATGAGTGCATCAGGCATCCACCTCCACCCCCAAAACACGCACATGAACTTTCTGAGGAATGGTGTCAGATTTGACCCCAGTGTAATCGATTGCTTTTAACTGAGTTACAGACATTTTACCCCAGTGTTGCCTTTTTTTTTTCCTTTTTAATTTATTATTTTTTTTAAATTTCTTTTTCCTGCAGCACCTTGATTGCATACATCAAGCCCATGTCATGTGGGCTATTACATTCTCACCCTATATGCCCCTCAAATAAGAGGAGAATGCAGGTACAGCTCTGTGAAACATGCCCTTTGAGTTTTGTTTTCCTTCCCTCCCTCCCGAACCTCAGCTCATAAACGTTTCAATGACAGACCAAAATGTGGCAAGAAAAGCTTGGCTACTCCTTAAATATTGAGTAGGGAAGAGTGCTGTGCACACACAAATAAATACCTACACAAATCTCAGCAAGAAGAGGAGAGGGAGGTGTGTTCTCTGCACACTGACCAGATTTTTATTATTATTATTCTAAAATGTTTCTCTCGTTCTTTTTGTGTGCCTTTTTTCTTTCTTTCTTTTTTTTCTTTTTTTCTTTCTTTCCCTTCTGTCTCCTTTTAGAAAGAGAAAACGTACCAAGAACTGAATCCCCACCTCAGCCGCTAAAATCGCCCTTCCAGCCTGTCCGTGACAAGTGAGTTTGTTTGTTTGTTTTCACTGCAGGAATGTTACTTATGTGAAACAGAGAGTTTGAATAATAAAGACTAATTATAACACCTAATTATCACCATAAAAATACATACAGACAGCAAGAACAACACAGAATTTGGTGTAATATTTTCAAATTTAGGCCAAATTGCAATTTTACATAGCCAGCTCCCAACTTTTCAGAAACTTAACAAACATCAGAGATTCACCGATTTTGTGTTAATTACAGCAGTCACAATACTTTCTGTGCAATTAACAAATACCTGGATGCTACAGCAAGAGAAAAGCAATTATAGGAAAGGATATATATTTTATTTTTTTTCTGAAAAGTTGTTACTTTTTTTTTTTTCCCCCCCTCCTCTTTTCCTCCCTTCCCCCCTGCAGCTCTTTGCCTCAGCAAGAGGGAACAACGAGAATTTTAGCAGCTCTCCCTTCCGCTTGATTAGATGGTTTGGTGAAAAAATATTACAGAGACTGGTACTAAGGACAGAAAAAAAAAAAAACAAAAACAAAAAAAACAAAAAAAAAGGATATAAACGACTCCAATCAATCTCTTTTTGCAATAAGGTGGTGCAAATCCATAAAAGCGATCACGCAAATCTGTAGGTGGATCCCCTTCTTCATTGTACCATGTCAGATCGTGTTATTCTAACCTTTTTGGATTATTTGTTTGGTAAATGTTTCCCACGTGTTTGTGTTTTTTCTGTATATAGAGTGATTTCAGATTGTAAATAGCGCGTCAGCAAAACTTGTCTAAATCATATATTTTTGTCTAATAAACTAAATGAAATTATGAGCTCTCTTCAGGTATGTATTCTGTTGCTGCAGATCTTACACGTATATTAGAGATCTATTCAAACGTTTATAATTTGCTTTCTAAAAAGTCAAGTCTTATTGCCTTTGGGTAACAAAAACGTAAATACCAAATTCAAGCTTTTAATGTCTCTTGTAGCTATTTTGTCGAAATCAAGCGGCGAGCTTCCCTCTTCATATACATAAATTTAGGGAGCCGAGTGAAGCCGGTTCTTGACTAGTAAAATTAAAGTTATTTTTCTCAGTTGTGATGAAAACGTGTTCTGTAGTATCCATTTTCCGATAATAAGTGGATATGACTTCCACTTAGGTTATAAAACATGTTCTTGAAAATGAAAGGGAAGAGTTTTCTCTCAGTTCCTTAGAGTATAACTTTGCTGTTCAAACTGTTTCCGAAATGGGATCAAGAGCCTCAGTGCTTTGGTACACGCAGCCGAAAAAAAAACCACCCCAAAACAAACAAAAAAAACACAGATTAGGAAATAGAATTATTTGTAACGATTTACACTTTCAATAAACACAAAGGAAATACGACTGTGAAATATTTTTTTTCCATGTGACATTAAGCACCATCTCAGCATGAAAAAAAAAAGAAAAAAAAAGAAAAAAAAAAAAGGCAGCTCTTGCACTTGCCAGAAGAAAGTTCTGCAATTCCGATCTGATGGTTATAAAGAGACTGAGAGAGACAATCTTTCGGTTTATAAAGGCATTAATCTTCCAAAGACGGTCCGTTAAAATGTGTAATATTTTGAGTGTTTACTTCTTTTTTTTTCTCCTAAATGAGAACACTAAATGAGCATTGAGGTGCTAATAAGATACCAGATGGTTGTTGATGGTGGAAAATGGAAAGAAGCAGCTGGGAAAGTCATTAAGAAATAATGTGGTGACGCCCTATCCAAACTGAACCAACCTCAAACGAGGACTTGTCGGAAACAAGAGGAGATTTTAAAATAAAATATTAATAAAATTCTTGCCAGAGATAGGAATATTGATCTCAATGTAGCTGCAAAATCATCACAAGCAATGAGGTGTCTCGGTAAACGACCTCTTAGAGATCTGGTCACAGTGGAGGCCGTAGACTGCGAGGTTGTTTTTTTTTTTCCTTTTTCATATGGACCAGAGAAACGGATCAGACAAAATGGATTTTGTGCAGGATATCTGAAGGGCTGCAATGTCCAGCCTACATCCCGCCCTTCTCAGCACAGCACCAGTGAGTTTGTTCCCTGGCTTGTAGTTTTCTTTTCCCTAAAATCCCCGTTGATAACAGCTTCACCAAAAGAGCATACTGCAGTTTTAACCAAACCATAATAACTCAGCTTTCAGCGCGGAAAAGGTAGACGGAATATTTCCCTAAAGACAAACAAACAAAAAACCCCCAGACTTCACGCCAGTAAAGCCAAATAGCGCGTCAGATCAGCACTGGTGTAAACCTGTCGGAACTGCTTTCTCTTTCCTATAAATTCACCGCATCCCCTTTCCTTCCCCCCCGTCCCTTCTCCCCTTAGACCCGCTTCCCAAATTCCCCGTGGCGGCAGAGCCAGCCCCGAGCAACCCGGGGGTTCAGGGAGCCGCGAAGGGCCGGTTCCGACCCCGGCCCCTCTCCGCCGCCCGCCCGGCTCTCATAGACGGGCACCGCTCCTGTGGACGGGGAGACGGGATGTTGGAAGCGCGTAGGGATGCTCTGAGAGGCGGAGCGAAGGCGTCGGTGCCAAACTGGCTCGGGAGGGACGTGGAAGGGCTTACTTAGCGGTTTTAGTAACGGCAGAAGGGACTTTTAACTGTGGAGAGTAAAGGAGTACGAGCGTGTGCGCGTTTATCCAAGCCCT